TCTTGCAGGAAGTGAGCCTTGCCAGCTAAAGCAGGGAACTGGCTAAGGCACCTGCACCCTGGTCCAACCATCAGAAAGCAAGAGACCCTAGAACTAGAAAGGTGAGGCTCACTGAGCCATTTATCCCTCTGCCTTTCAATTAACCCCACATGTGTTTATCGGCCAGTTGGCACAATAAACTACCTCAATAGGTATACTGTTACCTCTTTAATCTAATGAAGATTTATTCATAATTCATATTTAAAATTAATTTAAAGTCCTTAAAATTTGTGTAAATAAAGTTCTATCATAAGTCCTCCCTTTACATATTTACCTTTGAGCATTGAAGCTAAATTCTGGCAATAATGCTTAGTGAAAACAAACTGTAAACGTGGATCTTGGTTTCTTCCTTCCTTCCTTCCTTCCTTCCTTCCTTCCTTCCTTCCTTCCTTCCTTCCTTTCCCTTCTTGTTTTGCCTTGCTCTTTCATCTGAGTAATTCTAAGCTCAAATATTAATACCCAAGTCTAAATATTTTCTTTTTTCATGACAATTATTACTTAATTTCCTTGAAGTCAAATTATTACCTAATGTTTTTTAGAAAGGCTTAATGGATAATTTCCAAATCAAAGGTTCTATTTATAATACACCAAACTTTGCATTCTATCATTGTCTTAAGCCGGGTTCTCTAGATATGTAATACCAGTGAAGCTTAGAGTACTTTATATCAATGAAATAACCTACACCATATAGAGGTGGGTGTGTTGTATTGGGTTCTCTAGAGAAGCAAAATCAGTGAAATACATATACATAAAATTTGCTAGGATGCACACACACACACACACACACACACACACACACATACAAATAACTTTATGTCAAAAAAAGCCAGCCCCACTTCAATTGTGGAAGTGGTGAAGTCTGACCTGGTTCAAGTCTGTAGGTCAGAGGTTAAGCCGGAGGATCATCCTTACCCGTGTTGCTGCTGTGGTTGATGGAGCAGGCAGCAGGAAGACCACAGGGTTTGGCGTCCAGGGTTGTTGAATCCAAGGTCAACAAGTCAGGCTTGTGGCCTTTACTGATTTGTGTAGCTGCTG